TGTGTCATCGGATAGCGACGGGTCATTGGTTTGTGGTATCGGCCCAAATTTTCAAATCAATGCATGTCGCTGTAAGAAAGGCTGCCATATTTCCAACCACCGCACCAATCATTTATTCGTTTATTGATCCTGTGAACAAACTGATGTTTTCTTTAAGAAAGCTTTCCGGTTGCTCTGGACAGAACGTGGACATGTAAGTGTAAAAAGGAGGTTTGGTAACTCTACCTAAACTGTGATGCTCTGAGGTTAAAGGTTCTGTCCGGTTGGTGATTTGGTGTTTCTGCAGCCGTCGGCTCTGTCTCAGGACCAGAGGTGGTCGCGTTGACCTGAACGTTCGGTTCAGATGTTTACTGTAACTGTGATAACCGACCAGAACAATCAAAGCTTCTGTGTCAGAAAATGTCTGCTGCTTCTCATCGCAGCCTGATGACATCCGAGGTAATAAATCTGCTGCATATCCCCAGAGGACGGTGGCAGTGCATGATGGGAAGGGAGCCGCCGGCAGTCCTGTGCAGCGTGCTTCAGAGATAATCTGCAGAAATGACTGAGATTGTGATCCAGAGACATATCCTGCTGCTTTCCCAGAATGCTCTCTGCTCCGCGGTTGTGTGGGGCGACAGACAGAGCAGGAGTGATGTGGGAGTGCGAAGTGCCAGCGATCGCTGCAGAACATTCTGCTCCCTTTTCTGGATCTTCCCACATGCGTTTCTCAGTTTACAATAACTGAACATCTGATGCCGTTTTTCAGCCTCTTCACTGCAGAGATGTTCAGTTCTGGACCGGTCCGAGTCGTTTGGGCCGGACGGAGCCGTCTCCTCATTAAACCCAATGTAGCACGGCCTTCTGCAGAGCTCTAGCGCTCAATGGAACCATTATCTCTGACTGATGAAACTTTCCTTCCATCGGCGGGGAGGATGAAACGTGGAGCTTTGTGGGCGGGGTGCTCCGGGTCAGAAATGAAACGTTTTGGACTCAACTCTGTGGATGGAACTGTTCTGGTCTCCAGAAACTAAATAAACCTTAAATTTAAAAGGTTTTAAATAAAATATGACTTGTTAAATGTTATAATTTTACTTCTGTACTCTCTTCTGCTGGCATTGGATAGTCTAGCAACTAGCATGTCGATGCGAGTCACGCAGAACGTTTTGTTTTTAAACAAAACTTTAAAAAAGGAAAATGGTTGTCACACAATCTGTGTGCAACATTCATTAGATGCATTTATATGTGTTATACTGACAGTTTACTGTAATCCTACATGGCACAAACTATAAACATAATATATTATGGATTCGTCACATGGCACAGAAACGTAAAGCTGGACCCTAAAGGGCTGATTTACAGTCTATCTGCAGAAAAGTTGATCTGGGGTTTTGTTAAACTTTAACATGGTGAGAACATCCAGAAAAAATCTTTAGCCAACCAAGCTAAAGATGGACAGGAAAGAAACTAAATGCTTGGAGATGCTACATGCTAGTTGTGCTAATGCTAAAAGGCAAAGCTTGACAACAACTTATGTAGGTCAGAAAAACTTTGGATCTGCAGCACTGAAATGTTAAAACTCCAGGATAACATAAGCTGATGCTACCTGTTAGCTTAACAGAGAAACATCCTGGCGGTATCGGTCAGTTTGGTTCTGGAGAAACGAGCCGACCTGGAGATAATGGTCAGGTGGTCAAATCCACTTTCTAAAGGTTTATGTGAGCTGGTTCTACCTCAGGGTTCTGGAAAACCTCCACAAACCGTCAAACGTCCACAAACCGTCAAACGTCCACAAACCGTCAAACGTCCAGCTGTTCGCCTCCATTTTCACCTTTAGACCAGTAGTTCTGGTGGAGGGAACCCCCATGTTTCCGTCCACCTTCACTACAGTTCATTCTGTAGTTCCTCTCACTCTGACGTTATGTAATATAGAAACTTGTTTCTGTGTGTGTGTGTGTGTTTGTGTGTGTGTGTGAGGGTGTTTGTGTGTGTGTGTGTGTGAGGGTGTGTGTGTGTGTGGAGGATGAAGCGTGTAGCTGCAGCAGCGCCGCAGGCTCCTTATTTAGAGCTGTACTGTACAGCTTGCTCTGCACCTGTGTGTGTGTGTGTGTGTGTGTGTGTGTGTGTGTGTGTGTGTGTGTGTGTGTGTGTGTGTGTGTGTGTGTGTGTGTGTGTGTGTGTGTGTGTACTCCCTGCAGTGTAAGTAAGAGTGTAGGTGAAGGGGAAAGTAGGCTAGCTGATATGAATAGAGGGGTGATGAATTAGCTCTCAGAGCCGAGCTGCAGAATGGAGACCCGTGGGTCCGGCTCAGTGCGGAGAGGCGCTGAGGCTGATGCAGACGTTTACAACCCAGGGAGGAAAGAAGAGGGAGGATGAAGCAGGGCTGCTTTACTTTCTTGTGGAGCATCAAGGCTGACGGACCCCGTGGGGATCTGGAGAGTCAACTCCACCTGCCTGTTTCAGATTCAGATCGATGGATATTTAATGTAAATCCAAACACTGAACAATTCAATGAACATAAGAAAGTGATGTACATGTTTCAAGGACTTTTACTCTCCACTAAAGGACATTTAGTCTGTTTGACTCACAAGCATTTAGTTTGGTGTTTCTCACTGTGACAGTGAAAGAACAGAGCCAATCCAGCCCCTGTTTAATCCGCTTTAATCCAACTCCAGTCCGCTTTAATCCAACTCCAGTCCATTTGTCTAGTCAAAGTCTGGTTCGGTTGGTGAAGTGTGAATTCTAATTGACCTTTGACCTCTGTTCCTCCAAACCCGGTCTTGGTTCTGTTGAAGTGAACTCTGGTTCAGTTTGAATGCACAAGAGAAAGCCAAGCGGAACGGACACCGGTCCAAAAGCAGGAAGTGGGCCACAGCGCAGAGCATTCTGGGTAAATTCGACCAAAGCTAACATGCTAGCCTAGCACCAGCAGCAGAAATGGTTCCTGGTCTTCAGCCAAAGACTAAAAGAAAATCCTCCATCTTGTTTCTATCTGGTGAAGAAGAAGTTGCTCTCAGTGTCTTCAGACATTTTGTGTTGTTTCCTGCAGTGGTTGTTGGTGCAGCGCCCCACAGGCCAGGAGGGGAACAGGTCGGTTTGGCTCAAGAGTTCTGGTTCCAGTAGAACCGGGTCAACCGGAGCAGTGTTCCTTATCTTTATTCTGGAATTATTTACTTAAGTTATGCTTATATTTCTTGCTGAAAATTTACTTTAAAGTCAGTTTTGTCTTATTTCAAGTGTCCAAACATATCTGCACTGGATACTAAAGACTTTTTTCTGTGTTTTTTGACATGTTAGGTCAAAGGTGGAGTAAATAGATACAGACAGAAATAAACTATTCATGTTTTTCTTGCTGAACCTGCAGTTTAAGACATTATTTAAGGTTAAAGACATTAAGAATCAGGATGTGAAGGTGGAGGTCTGGTTTCTCTGGATCTGGGAAGGAAAGTTGAGGGTTTCTGGTTTGAAGTGCAGCAGCAGAAAGACAGAAACGTCTTGGTGGTTTTTAATAAATTGCCTCGTGATTCACTGCTGAACTCTGTGGCTCTACAGAGTTATGCAAGAGGAGAAGAGGCTGCGTCCACGCAGTTTACACCGGGCAATTCAGCAGAACGGCTGCTGTGGCGACGTCCAAGCTGAGGACGTCCCCTGTCCCTGGACGTCCCCTCCATCCTCTCCGTCCCCCTCCATCCCCTCCGTCCCCCTGTCCCTCCGTCCCTCCATCCCTCCGTCCCTCCATCCCCTCCGTCCCCCTGTCCCTCCATCCCTCCGTCCCTCCATCCCCTCCATCCCTCCGTCCCCCTGTCCCTGGACGTCCCCTCCATCCCCTCCGTCCCTCCATCCCCTCCGTCCCCCTGTCCCTCCATCCCTCCATCCCCTCCGTCCCCCTGTCCCTCCATCCCTCCATCCCTCCGTCCCCCTGTCCCTCCGTCCCTCCGTCCCTCCATCCCTCCCGTCCTGCCGCGTTCAGCAGCGGTTCGGAGGGACGCATCATGTTCAGTTTGAGGTTTTCACCTTTTGGAAACAATAACCTGACTGATCTGAAGACGGGGCGGATCTATTTAAAACACCCAAACGCAGCCCTGTTACCGTGACAACGCGTTTCTTCATTTACCCCGTTGTCCCTGACAACAGGGTTGGTGCGGTTTCTGCAGCAGCTGCTGCAGCTGCTGCAGCTGCAGCGAGAGGCGGCGGGTCTCTGTTTCGGTCCGACTGTCGCCCAACGTATCGGTGATTCTGCAAACATAACCTTTGACCTTTGATTCAGCAGATAAACGTCTTTATGGATGATGGTTGTTTTTCTGCCCTTTGCAAACCGAGCAGCCTGTGTGAATCAGTGACCTCCTTTAACTGATGTGACAATAGATGGTGACGTTTTGCAGGATCAGTTTTTTCTACTGGGCTAATATTAGCATAAAGTCACAGATCTCTGACCACTTCCTGTTTCCTTAGCGACCCATCACCAGGAATGCATCAGAAACGCTTGTTAAGGTGGAGCTTCCTGCGTCTTCAGCGATGTGGATGGATGGACACTAGGTGGTGCTAGAGCGCCTGGACAACGTTCTGCTATTGGGGTTTAGTTCTGTTTTATTTCTGGAATCTTCAAGTTTCCTCCATCTGCTAAATATTTAACTTAAATATGTAAATGAGGCCAAATCATCTGAGTAACGTTACAATAAAATAACTGAATAACGCTGTTCTGTTTGGCATGTCGATGAAGTCCTACTTTCTGTTTCTGTGTGTGAGACTTATGACCAGAGGATTTTAATATGTCAATAATATCTGCAGACAGCAGGCCTCAGGGCTGTAGCGAATCTGATTAATCTGAACTCTAAATCTTCATGAGGGCAGATTGAGGGCAGATTGAGTTCAAAGTGCAGAGGATATTCTGTGATGAACTTTCACTTTGCAGCTTTTAATCATTTGAAAAGGAGAAATTAAAATCTGATCCATTCTCTCTTTCAGAGTGATTTTTATTCAGAGAATTTTCCAGCTTTCGTTCCCTGAAAGGATCAAATTTAAGTCCAGACTTTGACTAGGCCCATTCAAACCATTCATAAGTTTGAAAGCATTTTAAAGCGTCTGGTTGGACTTGCTACAGGATGACGGCGTTACAGATTCAGCAGGAAGTGGATAGCGGCTGTTTTCTCTGGCATCAGGGTCACCTCAGTCCTGCAGCTGGTCGGCATGGCGATGGAAGCTGAGCCTCGCGGCGGCGGATCATCAGGCCGTCGCTTCAGATGGGATCAACTGGAAGGAGAAACGTTTCTGCTGCTCTAGATGGACTGTAATAATTCACATCATGTTGAGGAAGAAAAACAGGCAGTTAGAAAAATCTTCAAGCTCTTTTTGCAGCTTTGTGGTTGGATTTAACTTGGAAATCTGACCTTTGACCTCTGTAACCAGCTGAGAGGCTCTGTGGTATCTTTGTGTTTCATGTCTGGCTGAAAAATCTTCTTGTTTCATCCTTTGATTCTTAGTGGAAACATGTAAATGTTCGTCTTTCCTTCAGTCAAAGCTTCTCTGTTGGTTTTCTGGAGATTTGAAAAGAAACATAAAGTTTCAGTTTCATCCAACTGGATGATTCTTCCAGTATGTTATTGGTTTGTTCTGCTGTTGGCTTTCAATGAACTGTTATGTGATTTGTCTTCAGTAGTGGAGTCTTGCAGTGAAAGTGGAAAACATTCCTCACTGTTTTTATGGAAGAAACCTTCTCAGTTGTTCACAGGGTTTTCTAAAACCTTTTGGGAAAATCTTCTGAATTTTCCTTTGACTCACCATTAAACCGTTCAGCAGATCCATTGACTGGTGGCACTGATGCCTCGTTAGTTTAATCAGCATGTCCTGCTGATGCTGAAGAAACTGCATTTCTAACCTGCATCCTTTTTGTTTTAGCCAGCAGTAACAGAATTATGTGATGTGACTAAAGTGGATCTATTTAAACCACCGTATCCCAGCACAAAAACCTTCCATCAAAACATTTGTTGCTTTAAATTGACATGTTTAAATCAAACAAATTTATTTTCATCATTTCAATTTGCATGTTTTTATGAGTAATAGAAATGTGAGATTAAATTAGCAAAAATGAATTTGAGCTAATAGAAACCAGGAATGCTTTCTAAATATATGTTTGTAATTTTTCTACCTGTTTTTTTAAAGTGTGCAACATTCAAACCTCTGGTTGGCGTTTAATGAACCGGAGCAACTAGAGCGAACACTTCACCACACAGAACAAACTTCTCTCTAACTTTGATGGAAATTTTCAGGTAGATTCCAAGAAACTTTTCCAGAATTTATGACGCATTGTCCAACAATCCACCGTAAATTACCAGAAATGTTTAATCCTGGAAAGTTCTTAGAGATTATGCGGCTGTTTTATTGGAAATGATGGATGGATGGATTTTGTTTTGCTACAATAATAACTAAAACACTCAGCAGCTGTTTTGTGGTAGGAAACCTCAGGACATGTTGGATATATTTTTTATTTCTTGTTTTTTCATCAATCTCCCCAAATTGTTGCAGATTTAGGAGATTGATGATCTGACCATGTAAAAAACGTTTTCAGGTCTTTTGATCTTCGGCTGTCAGATCAGAGTGAACGACGTTTAGCCTGGAAGCCGTTTATCAGGAAACAGACATTCAACTGAGATTTAAACACGTTTTCACATCGCGGCAGCAGTCAGGGGAATTGTTCTGACGTGGAACTGGAGGCGCGTTGATGGACCGGCGATCAGTGGGTGAACCAGAACGGCCACCATACTGGGAGAACCAGATTTGGGTCGGATTGGATGTTTAGTCTTTTAGTATTACTTGTGGGCTGATTTGATTCACATTCTTAATTTGTCACCAACAGCTGACTGGTTTATAGTGTCATACTTAGAAAACTTTACAGTAAAAAAAGTCAATAAATATGACATTTTTGTTGAACATAAAAAGCAGGATCCATTCTGTATAATTCACATTAATCTGGAGAATCTAAATGTATTTTATAATCCCAACAGCAGCACTGCAAAGTGCCAGTTTGACCCGACGCCAAACACAAGTTTGTGAAATTTTCACTCATAAAGTTCATAAGCCTTTATGATTTAGGAATAAATCAGGTTTAAACTGCTGCATATGAGCAACATTCGATGAGGAAACGACAAAAAAAACCAAGAAGCAATCTGGGTCTCGGTGATCGGGACGTTAGCGACTGAGCTAAAATCAATAAAAACTTTTATCTGTGCATCATCCTCCCCCTCCTGACTCACTGTACAGTTTATATGTACCGCTTCGATGCTAACTGCTAGTGCTAATGGCCGACTGACTGTGTGCTAACCATAAGCTAATACTCTGTTAAGCTAACACCTGTGATTGTATGCTAATGCTAAATGTTAGCGATGCGTTGCTGTGACAAAGTGTTTGAATCCCTGCAGATTCCTTCTGGTTTTGCATTTTTTCACACTTTAATGTTTCAGATCATCAAACAAACTTAGCAACATTTAACTTTGACTAAGCAGTTGTAGATTATTTCTTTTAATAATAGAATGAAGAGGCGAGCAAACCAACCAGGTTTAAATGATTTCTGTGGCCACACCCAGTTCACGTTTCACCAGAAGCCTGATTGATGACATGATGGCTGAAGGATCTCAAAGCTCACAGAAACAAAGTGTTTTGTCGCCTCTCAGACTGTGAGTGGCTTCAGAGGCGTTTCTAAGTGCCGGAACCGCATTCTGGGCTGATGAGGCTACAATGACCAGAACTGACCCAAAACACGGCTCACATTTTAAAAAACCCGTTTACAAAAATATGTGCTGACAGACAAGAGAAATGGACATATTCTAGAAAAATATGTCCTGTTTTATCAAAAACCTAACATCATAGTGATATTCGGACATGGTGGTGGAAGTGTGATGGTCTGGGCCTGGAAACCTGCCACAGCTGGTTCTGAACGTTTCAGTGGGAAAATTAAAATAATTCTCTGCCACCATGATGGCAGTTGTTATTTTCCTCAGATTATTTTTGCCACTAAAAGCAGTTTGATGATCTGAAACATGAAAGTTTGGCATAAAAACAGACGAAATCTTTAAGGGAGTGAATCTTTTTTCACGGCGCTGCAACTATTTAAGACTCCATACTAACTGTGATTGATTTTGTTTGCTAAGGTAATGCTAACCTAGTAAGATGTAGTGTGCTAACTGTTAGCTAAGACTGTTTAACTAAGTGTGTGCTAATGCTATGCGGCTGTTATTCTGTGTGCTAAGCTAATGCTAACAGATGAACGTGTGCTTTTTGCTGGTGCTGTTGCTGACAGCGTGCTAACCATGCTAAGCGTGCTAACGGTGTTTGTTTCTGTGTGCCTGTCTGTTCTTGTTCTTGTTGTCTACCTTTCTCTGTTCCTCTCTTGACTTTATTTTTCTCTCTTTTTTTCTCCCTCTCTATCTTTCTCTCTCTCTTTCTATCCCTCTCTGTCAGGTCTTATTCCTCCTCCTCCACCTGTTCTACTCCACCACCTCTTGTCGTACCTCCAACAACCCTACTAGCATCACCACTCCTTCCTCCACCTCCTCCTCCTCCTCCTCCTCTCTCTACTCCTCCAGTCTACCTCCTAACAGCCACGCCACCTACCATCAGTACTGCTGCCCCGCGCGCCTCCGCCTGCCCAAGCCTCCCTGCGCCCTGCCCCCCGCCAAGCACCACGAGCAGGCAAGGTAAGGGCCAGAGTCCCTCCACCTCCCCCTGACCTCCTCCACCTCCCCTGACCTCCTGACCTCCTCGCTCTCGCCTCTGTCGAGCTCCAGGGAAACGTGAGCTCGTTTAGAGCGAATTTAGCCCCGACGGCCATGAGGATCGTTAGGAAACGATTCTGCTGGTTTCCCTTTTGCTTTTGGACAGATTTTAGAATTGATCATTTTATTATGTTGACCATTAATTGGCTCCAGATTTTTCATTTAACCTCCTAAGCTAATATTAAAAATGCAACAAAACTAAGAATTCTATTCCATTTTTGTTTTCAAAACGAGAAAATAAACATTTTATTTACAACAGTCGTTTATTTTAGTCTTCCACTAAAATATGTCTGATATCAAAATGTGAAAACTCAGTCATATTATAAGGCTGAGATGAGGACTATTTATTATATCAATCAATTAATAACTAAAATTAATATCATTTCTTACAGAATTTGAACCAGGTGAAGCTAAAACTGACACTTTATGAGTTTACCCATATTTACACATTTCTTTAACTCTTACAGTCAAAATGAATTAATTTTGTAAAGTTTTGTCTTATTTATTGCTTTTAATATTTATTCTTTCAGCAAATGACTTTTAGAGTCTATAGACTCCAGATAACAAGTTAAAATAGATCATTTCAATAATCGACTAATAACAATTAATGTGCTTATGGAAGCCCAGCAGATTGTTTCCAATTGTTTCCTATTTATTATTATTATTATTATTATTATAAAGGATCAAATGTTTTTTACATCTGGACAAAATCTTAAATTTGGAGTCACTTTATAATATAGTAAATTTTAATATTTTGTTTAAATTTATGCAAACATCACTTCCTGAATTTGATCTCTTATGGCTTTTTAACCATTTTTACATTTATTTATTTCAAAGAAGGGATGTTTTCCTTAATTTTATTTAATTATATTTTGAATTATGTAATATTTGTCTACATCTTGACAGCGTCTTATTTCTGCAGTAGCTTGATTGAGAGTTAATTTGTCTGATATCTGCAGAAAAATCTGAATTCTTGATGATTCCAGCATATTTAGGTAAAAACTTAAATATCTACTTAATGTTAGTTTTCTTCATTCGTTTCTTTTCACCAGATTTGCAGTAAAATGTCCAGATTCGCTCTAAACGGCGCCTCACTCTGATCCTCGCTGCTCTGATAACCTGCAGCTTTAATAGTAATAATGATAACAATCTGCATCAGCCTGACTCACACTCACTCAGCGATAAAGGTGAAGCCGCCAATTTTCTCCTCATCCACCTTTTCCCCCAACACCATCCTCATCCTCATCTCTCTCTCTCTCCTCACTCGCTCGCCCTCATCTGCTTCATCAACGCATCATCAAACAGACTTTCAAACCCAAACCTTCAGAACCGAACGAAACTGAAATATGACGGCCAACAAAAAAATAACAAAAACTTCAGATTGAAACACAAAAACTTTAAATACATTTTCTGATTAGATTAGTTTGGACGCGACGTAAAGTTTAAATACTTTATTACATCTTTGTTTTAACTTCTGATCCTTCAGCAGGATAAAACTAAACTTACATACTGTAAACTAACCTGCAGAGTTATTACACTTTAAAGTGTTCCTGTGCATTTTTATAAAAATTCAGACTGCAAGATGGTTTCAGTCTGCAGGATGTTTTTGCATCTTTGACTTCCAGTCTTGCTGGATTTTCAACGTTTGTCAGAAGAGAATAAATAAGAATTTATTATCCAGTTTGAATCTGACTTTGGCCTTTCAGGACAGTTTTGTTCCAGAAACGTTTTATTGCTTCTCTCAAACTGCAGTTTTGATGAGTTGAATTTCAGAATCTGGTGACGTAATCTGAGACATGGTCAAAATGTGACTGAAGGTCTCTGGAATCGGCTTTGTTATTTTGGTGTTTGTGAGGAAAAGATTTGTGTTTTCGTCCTGTTTTCACATGTTCGCTAATCTCCAATTAAACAAGAAAACTCCTCTGATTGGCTGCTGGAGTCAGCCAATCAGAGGAGACGCCTCAGCATTAAGCCCCGCCTACTTTAGTGCGGCTACAACCAATGCTAAACGTTTTATGGAAACATTTTCCTTTTACTAAACTGCCACAAACTTACTTATGTAATTCCAATTTGTGCAATTATGATCAATTAAATATGTTGATTGATTTTCACAAGAGCAAACTAAAGATTGTTGACATTTAATTTAATTTTTTTTCTTTTTCTGAAAATTACACTTCATAATATTTGTTTTCAATTCGGCCAGATGTTTATTTTTGAGATGTTTTCCTGGTTAATTCGGATCCAAAGATTATTTCTATTTTCCAAAGACAGAGCATCATGGTTGATTATATTCAGAAGATTTAGATTTTAATCATTTCGGTAATTAAAACGCCTCAGGAGGAGGTTTCCTCCAGAACAGGTTCTGGTGAGAAATATGAGCATCGACAGCAGAACAGAGGAAGATGCTGTTGAGACGGGGTCAAGGGTCATATCCACAGGGCAATAAGTCCTGGGCTGACTGGCCGCTCAGAGAGGAAGAGGCCATTTCTCCTCCAAGCTGCATTCATGGAGGTTTGACCTACGGCATGAAAACACCACCTTAATGTGAGGCGGTGGCAGCATCATGCTGAGGCGTTTCACTGCAGGAGGGACTGGTGCTCTTCATCAAATAGATGACATCATTAGTGAAAACACTGACGGCATCCAAACAAATCAGCCTGAGAACAAATGGGTCCAGATGTCGACGACCCTCAGCGTTAGCTAAACTGGTTCCAATGGCTTCCAGGTTCCTGCTCACCATCATGAAGTCTGACCCGGTTCAGATCCACCAGGATTGGGCCAAAAGCCCAGCAGATTACTGAGAAGAGCCCAAAACATCTGACCCGGGTCACACAGCGTAAAGTAACTCCCCATGAAAGAATAATAAATGTTGGAACGTCCACCAAAGTGGGCGGGGCCTTACGCTGGGGGCGTGGCCAGCTGTGGGGTGAGCAGAGGGGGCGTGGTCCAAACCAAAGAAGCAATGTTGCCAACAACTCTAGAGTCTAGCAGCAAATCTGGTGACTGTTCTCTGTTTTCATTGGACACTTTCATGGTGACATCACACAAATGGACCAATGGCGCCGCTCCCCTTCCTAAGCACTGCAGTCAGCTGTCGTCCTGCAGCAAAATGGCTGCAGTCAGAGCAGAGGAGGCCCAGTCCAAACAAATCATCAATACTCCTGACCTCCTCCAGGGGGCGTATGTCTGAGTCAGATCAGACGTCAACCAAACTGTACCGTGGTAACTAATCGGAAAATTAAGCTGCAGTTTCCACTGCTCAACCAAGAGGGCAGTATTGAGAGCATATCAGGCTGAATATTGCAAAATGAAACAGATTTACATTAAAATATCAAACAGAAATAAAAAAACCCAAACAACTTCAACAGACAGCAAGAAACGTTTCATTTGAGGGTGAGTCACACTTCTACCCTTCACCAGGGAAATGTAGGTAAATTTCTGAAGTCGGCGACATCTGGTGGCTGACTGCAGTACTGCAAATCCACAGTTAATTTTCTTAAAAATTAAGTGATTCAATGTCAGCCCTAAAAAATTTCAGTTTCTTTAAACTTTGTTTTAACTGCATATTGTTTCTTGGGGGCTCTGACAGACTTTTTTCTTCCACTAAACCTTCTACTAATACAGCACTCTGAACAGCTACATTTTTGGCAGTGACTTTTTGTGGCAGTTGTCAAGTCAACGGTCTTTCGTGGTTTAATTGAATCGATTTGGACACGTCACATCAATCCACATCACAGCTCAGTGAAAATATTGGTGAAGTGATAAAACTGGATCGTTTCCTGAACATCTGACTGGCTTTAGTTTGTTTTAAGGGACTTTGTTATGAAATATCGGGCCATCAGCTTTTTAAAGACATTTCGCTAAAATGACCAAACTTAATTCTGGACTATTTATCTCTTGTTGCTCGTTTCAAACTGCAGATCTCTCCTATGGCTGATTTACAATCTGTAAAAGTTGTCAGATTATTTAAATGAGAGACAAGGGAAGTTAAAACTGCTGAATGGGATCAAAGTGATGGATTACAGCCCTGCTTAAAAATCACAGCTGCAGCGATTATTGCACTAATTTGCACTTTTAGGCATTACATTTGCATTAATGTGCTACTGGTCCTAAAAATAGCTCGGCTTTCCCTCCATCGTCATCCATTCATCCTTCCTTTCTGTCCTCTCTGGCTCAGTGGAAACTTTCAGGGTCAGAAGTGACTTTGTTGACCTCTGGCTCTGGCAGTTTCTGTTTCACTGACTCACTTTGGCCCCCAGGCGACCAGGGGACGCAGCTTCACCTCTACTTGTAGTCATAGATGAGGAAACAGTGACATCTGGTGGCTGATTGCGGTACTGCAATCCAAATGAAAGCCATTCTGCCCTCTTCCTCTTTTTACTCTTCCTCTCTGTCTGTCTGCTGGTCTGTCTCTCAGAGAGGACGAAGACGATGACATCGCCCATCAGTTCTGTTGCCCCGCCTCCGAGTGCAGTAGCCCCTCCTCTAGGTAACATGGGCAACTGTGAGACCCTGGTAACGAGCCCCCGTCCGCCCTCCACCGTGGTATTCGCCAAACCTTCTTCGCCCTTGAGTCGCCAACAACAAGACGACATTTTGAGCACGAAAAAGATCTTTGAAGTTTAAAAAAACAGGAATACCTGAATATTTTTTTCACTTTAAAGGCTTGTTTGCTCAGAAAACCTGAAGCTAAGAGACAAAAAGCAAACGATAAGACCGGCTTTGCAACCCTGCTGCTAATCCTGTCGAGGCGTTTCAAACCTGTGGATCAGATAAACAGTGAGCTCCACTCCGAGCTCCAGGGACGCTCTGAGAACAAACTCAGACCTCGTCTCCCGAACCGTTCCTCCCCGTCCCAGCATGAAGCCATGACCCCGCTGCGCCCCCCCAGGGGCGTCTGCGCCCCCAGGGCTGTCTGCGCG